GCTGAGATGTAGTGTTTCGTTTGTATAAATCTTGATGCTCGGGTGGGTCCTACCGCTGGTCTACAGATATATTTCAGGCTACTGGCGATCAAGTGAGTCAATAATGGTTACAGAGTTTTACTGCACAACATAATTTCCTCCATGATGGTGGTATATAAACAAAGCTCTTTGCACATAGTGAGCATACTGTCCCATAAGTGTCAGTATGAGTGCGGTGGTGGTTTATAATAAAGACTCACAATATCGTCAGAGTCGTTTAGTTATCAATGATGGTGGCAAAGTTCGAGGCAAGCATCTGGCCACCCTTCTCGAAGTGTTTGAGCTCCACGGTGGTACTCCTCATCAGTGAAGACCTCGGTGAGGGCCTAAAAGGTTGCAGCGTCGAACACGGCCATGCAGCGGCACTAATGGCGTCACTGACGACTAGGTTGAACCTATAATGGTGCGCAGCAATCAGGAACCGAGGACTTCTAAGGCAATAAACATCACAGGTACCTGCCCATACTTGAGTACATTCTACTTGACTACATGGAGCGAGTCGAAGAGCTTGGAATGGTCGTCAAGCCAGAACTTGTCGAAATCCTCCTTCGAGATACCTTCTTTTGTCTTGAAGAGAGCGACAATGCGGACATGATCAATGCGAAGGGCCATTATCAATGGTGGATCGAAGACTGCAACAATCAGGGAAGCTATTAGTCGAGCGATAGAGGGTTTGCAGAAGATAACCACTCAGAAGTGAAAGGTATATGTGAAGAGGATGAGAGGGGCTTGTAAGTTTACGAATATTATCTCCTTGCTTTTATACCGTTCATCCTCCAATCTGCCAAGAGCGAATGGACGTATCACAAAGACAGCCACAATAGAAATTGATACGATCAAGAGGGACTAACCCAAATTCTCGCCCGTTGTGTTGAGGGTTATTCCACCGGTACGCTGATCAGATGGGTTGGCAGCAGGAAACATACTTGATTGCCTTCTCGGGTAATAGGAGACCTGGCGATACTCGACTCATGTGTCCCATCACATGGTCGGGGAAAGCTAAAGGGAGGATGTGAATTGAATGGGCTAGAATTGCGCTGATGGGCCAATTAACAAACAAGTAAATTGCTCAATGTGGCGATACCCAGGGGTGGTGTCGATATTTTTGACAATTACTGTCCCCACGGTCGTGTCAGCGCTGTATCAAGGTGTTTCTACGACTGTAAGAGGATACAATGCCAACGTTCACCGTAACATTCACAGAATGAACATGGGTATATCGACCATTTCGTACAGCCATAACAGGTACATGTACAGCCTTTCTTCTCATTGGGTCGATCATGCTGTCGATGTAAATCACTTATTTGACTTCTATTTGGTATAGATTAGCTTGCGCGAGGGATAGAGAAATTGATGCACAAACTGAGAAACGTTGAGATTGCCTTCACATATGCTTGATTATCAGTATATCGGCTGGTGTGCTCGATGGAGACAGTCACAGTAGTACGTGTTACTCAGATCGACAAACGGAGGTGCTATAATGGACTGAGTGAGAGTTAAGTGAATAAAACGCAAACGGCGTCATACCACCGGAATGTAGATGTCATAGTATGAACTTGAACTTCAAGCTTCAAGTTAGACGACCAGAGACGGCCTCGAGGCCGGATTTGTCACTGTACCATTTATGGTAGTCCTCCGTGGATTGTTGGGAACGACTCAAATCGTCTCACCATTAATCACCGCATCACTATTATGCCTCCAAAATTACATCTTTGTCAATGCCATGCCAAAGGCTGTATTGAAAGAGAAACAAGACATATCGATACGGGCCAGATCATCTCAGGAACATACTTCACAATGTCGCAATACGAAACTCATCGATTAGCCGAGCTAGAATGGTCGCAGCATAACGCTCAACTGCAATTCGAGAGCTCCGTGATTACCAGAACGTTGGAAACTCGCAGATTTTCTGCAGCAGAACAGCATTGGACACAAGAACGCGATATATATGAGCCAGAAGTCTTGGGACAAGGTCGGTTCTGTTACCACTATCATCTCTTTGTTGATTCAGTTCTTGGACTATACATTAGACCATCATTCAATTCCCATTTCAAGTACATATCAGGCTGCGACTGAAAACGAACAAACGAATGAAGAGAGAGAAGTTGAGCAGATGCTTGTCGATACGGAGGACAGTGATAAACCTGCTCTCCCCACTGGTGCACAAACCTCGGTATACGGAACTTCTCCTGCAATTCTGCGGTCGATCAATGATCTTCAAAATATTCGAAATGACTTCCTCTTTCAGAAGTCTCAATTCCCGGTACCCAACGCTGACTTTTCACCCTGACCCCAAATCGCCACACGAGCCAGTACCTCGCCTGACCTACACTAACAGAAAGGGTCTTCTAACGCA